ATTATAGATTGTCTTTTGTCATTTCTTCACCACATGTGTTTTACAGTACACAGGGCTATTTGGATGAGACAGTAGGAGAGAGGGATATGACATGCAGCAAAGGTCTACAGTTGGAATAAAACCTGAACATTTGTGGTTATCTGCTATGTGTCTTACCCAGTAGGCAGATTTTTTGTTGTTACATGTGTCTTACCCAGTAGGCAGATTTTTATGTTGTTACTGTTGTTGTACTTCCTCCAGTTAAAGGGATTTACAGTATGCACATCTATTTTTAATATTTGATCATTTTGGGCACATTAATGCAGCTACAACTTAAAATAATGAACTTTGGCATTTCACAAATTAGTTTTGATTTTGACAGTTGCTGACAAACTCAAATTTACTGTTTTAGCTGATGTTTATTATTTAGAATATCGTATCATCTGCTGTATAACTGGTGCGAAGTTTTGGGATGTCATTTACTGTGAATGCTGCTGTAAAATGCACTTGAGTGAGTGTTGTGCAACGTAAACAAACCATAAACAAATCAATTTGAAAGACATGATGTCAAACAGAGCAAAAACACAGACCAAAATATGAACAACATGAACAGCATAAGCAAATCACATACAAAACTGCCATAGTCATTGATTCAGTTTCTTGTCACTAAATGTTTCTGGACTGTTGGACCAGTGGTGAGAGACTAACCAGCCTAAACAACACGGGACAGAAATAACTGAGACTAAGAAGACAGGGGAAGAAAATTATGTGATGCCCTCAGCATCATCTTTTGGTTCCAGGTAATTTTTCATAAAAAACATTTATTTTGTAGTGAAATTAGTTCTTTTTTTTTCTTTTCAGTTGATCTCAGGTTAAAATGCATCTTCAACTAGGCCTAAATGACCAAGTCATATAAAACAACATCCCAAGTTTGTGTCACTTCACATCCCTCCTCAGTGTGTTGAGCCTATTAGTTGAGATCCTGGTAACAGCCCCAGGTCTGGTTTAAGGTGATTGTTTGATTTTGTGCTCAGCAGCATAAGTGAGTCAAAGAAAAAGTATCAGCCTACAAATATTTTATGTAATGTTTTATATATATTGTCTTTCACACATGCACACATTATTATGCTTCAAAACTTTTGAGGACCTTTAATTATTTCAGTTCCTCTCCTAACCCCAAGTAAAACCTAATCCCTAACCTAATTCTAATTCTTATTTTGACCTGAGGGTGTGGTGAAAAGAAACCTTTCAAGATGTCTGCTGTGAGGACATGCAAGGCAGGTGAAAAGTTAGTCTTTCCATCTGCACTAACCTCACCCTGGTGTCCCACCACACCTCACAGCACTGGGGAAACATTACCACTGAAAAAGTGCAACACACATAATGCATTGTTTGTCCTGATGGATGAGACTCTTAGATAATGCAAACCAGAACCCACAAGACAAATAGGCCTTAATGTCAAACACTTTTTCACACCACTGTATATTGTCTTTCACACATGCACACATTATTATGCTTCAAAACTTTTGAGGACCTTTAATTATTTCAGTTCCTCTCCTAACCCCAAGTAAAACCTAATCCCTAACCTAATTCTAATTCTTATTTTGACCTGAGGGTGTGGTGAAAAGAAACCTTTCAAGATGTCTGCTGTGAGGACATGCAAGGCAGGTGAAAAGTTAGTCTTTCCATCTGCACTAACCTCACCCTGGTGTCCCACCACACCTCACAGCACTGGGGAAACATTACCACTGAAAAAGTGCAACACACATAATGCATTGTTTGTCCTGATGGATGAGACTCTTAGATAATGCAAACCAGAACCCACAAGACAAATAGGCCTTAATGTGGTTAGGGCATAAGCATCCTACATCCTCACTAACAAACACACACACACACACACCCCAAATGAAAATTAAAAGAGCTATGTTAGTCAGAGCAGAGTACTAAGGGAGCGTAAATGAATAGCATTATGAAATGAGAATTCTCAATTGGAAGGAAAAATTAATTGGCCTGTGCTGTTTTGTTTTTGTTTTCCTATGGTGAAAAAAAACATACTCATTATGGGAGAGCATGAAATGGGAGTCTGAAGAAAGGTCAGGTGATTTTGAATCACCAAAGTCTGTTAGGACACAAAGGATCATATTGAGAATTATTAGCATCCGCATTCGGATTAGTCATGTACATATAATTCCCGCATGAAACGTCGTTATCATTCGTTTTCATTTTATTTATTTATATTTAGCATCGCTGTGCCTTGCATGGTATACTACTAATTCAATTTAAATGCTTGAGTGATGTGCTCTGGCAGCTCCGCTGTGATCTGCCACTCATTTAATCAGTCCTGTGAGCACAGACATAGTGTGATAAGACATCAAAATCTTTCAGTAGTAGAGGAGACTTGTGTACAGTTTTACACAGGGAATAGATAGAGATCAGGTTTGCATTGATCACTTTAGATAGGATGCAGTACAGTGGTGTCCTTTTTATTATCAGTACATTGAGACTATTCAATCTCAAGCATAAGCTCCTTTGTTTACTTTTTTGCAGCTCTCAAATTATGGATCTTGATAATTCCCTGTGCTTTCTATGTTTAAATATTTAGCCCTTTCTTTCCAGTTAATCTAGGTTTACAGTACTCTGTGTTGGTGTGCATGTGCTTGCATTCATTTTAAGGAGACAAACATTCCTGTATACTTGCAAACCTATCATCACCATGTTGTGTACTCATCCAACAAAAAGGCCATTTCTAGCTTTGGCCATCAGCCAAGCTGGTGGTGAATTCAGCCACGCCATGGTGACAGTCCTTAGCTTGGGCTTCATTTCTGTTCTATTATGGGATATGGCAGGGAGCAGGTCCCACGGTGTACTGTGGTGCCTTAACATCACTTCCCATCTGTCAAAGAAGAAAGATAACGCAACATACAGTACAATAAGAAAGGCATTGAAGCAGAAACTAGCAAAGGTAGTAATGGAAGGCCCACTGAGTCATAGCACAGACATTGGGGAAATTGGAAAAACTGGGAGACTGTATGCGTGTTGTACTTTTACTAGCACAGTTTTACCCAAACAAAGCAGAAAATAAACACAGTTTCCTGTTTTCCAGCACACTTATCATAAAAGTAGACGCCTGCTGAAATCTGTGTGATCATCATCACTAGCAGTTAAACCTTTAAAAAATAGTGAAATTGTTCCTTTTTGTTGCTGTTATTATTATGCCACTTCTCGGAAATATAATAAAACTGTGGGCAACTTGATAGAGAGGGAAACTCTTTTGAATGTTGAATGCAGACATGAATGCAGTGTCTCTCCCTCCTATGTTCCCTATACTTGAATGCACCCAGTTCATACAGGTAATACAAAGTCATGTTTCTGAACAATTTGGATTGTAGCATGGGTTCAAAAATTTGTTGGGTGAATATTATTTTTAGAAAATTTTAAAACTCTCACAGGAACAATTCACATGACAGTTCTTTATTACACTACCACAGTCTCAGATATTATCTTAAATTAAAAAGAAACATTGTAGTATACTGAATGAAAACGTCTCTTGGAACTTGTCTCAATAAGTTGACACAAGAAGATGCCCATGCCATTAATATACACAGATACCATCCAGTGATATCATCCAGCAAGGACACTGAAGGACTGAATTAATTCATATTTGTCCTTAAGAGAATTCTGAACAAGATTAGAGATACACAGTTTCGACAACTGATCTCATGAGGTTGTTTAGTGACATGGTACAGTTGTGGTGCTTTATAAACAAGTGAGTTTGCTGATAAATCTCTGTGGGTTTTTCACCATGAGCTTTTCCCATTATTCATTGTCTTTTGATTGGGTATGAACTTTTATGTCAAATTACATGGATGATAAAGACACAGGAGCCTTAACCTGCCACACCAGCATAAGCTTTGACATATTTTCAATTGAGCATTCATACTCATTGCCTATGCCTGTGAGTATGTTTTACAGTAACTCAGTTGCATTGGCAGCATAAATGTTTCATACTGCATAAATGTACTTTTTATTGAAGTAAAATGGAATAGGACGACAGTGCCTATTTTATGTACGACAGTCCAGGCTGTTGAAGCCAGACTGGGAGCATCATGCTGTCAAAATATCTACGTTCTCTTTTATATCTGATCTGTTGATGAGAAATATTCATGGAAACAGGATGATAGTATATGCAGTATATTAGCTAAAAAGGTAGCACATCTAAAATGACAAAGTTCTGTTGTAGCAAGGAGTCCGTTGTGATAAAGGTTAAGGCATATACCAGATAACCTGAGTGTGCATGGGCGCTGTAATGAGTCGATGTTGTTGCCATGTGCTGGGTGTGCAAGGTATGGCATTCATAAATTAACTTTCTTATTAGGGAAACATTCACTATATATATGGTGTCATGTGTTGTATGTAAAAATGGAGGGAAGGGCAACAGACAGGGAGGGGAGAGAGAAGGAGGGAGTGAGAGAGAGAGATTGTTGATGATCTCTGAGCCAAAGAGAAATCAGCACAATTTGCTTAATAAAATTAGGCACAGCTGAACTACACAAAGCCAGCCTCTGGTTGAAAGAGGGCAGCATTCACCTCAGGACCACCACTCGTCTCAATGTAGGAACTGTCCTGAGTGTGTTGTTATCTCTTGATCACACACCTGCTGTAGTAGTGGCTTTAAATTCTAAACAAAGGTCCAGCTTCACACTCAGCTCTCAATTGAGGTGCCACCTCACACCCGGCTACTTCTAAACCTCCACAAGATTCTGGGGTGGGCCCAACAAGTGGACCATGCATCAGCACACAAAGGATGAAAGAGACCCTCCAAAAATGGAAGGGAGTGAGGAACCCCCCATGTCAGTTTCCACCGAAGTCCTGGACAGTCCCTCCTCTCAAACCTTTGGTGCTGAGGCAGAGCAGGCCAGAGCTATCCTAAGCCCCCACCCCCGCAATGGATGTGGGTTTTTCTGTCAGCCAGGGTGTCTGTTCCTCGGACTGACCCTACTCCTGCTTTCTCTTCTTGGCAGCTGGGCAGTGGTCCACCTCACCTTGGGCGCCCACAGAGGATCAGCTTTTCGGGTCTCGGCCAGCTACGATCAGCGGGTCCCACAGGATGACACAGCAACCATTGAGCCCCACTTCACCTCGAACTGCACCATGGGTAAGTTGGCATGCATTTCTTTTGCTGTGATTATTTTTTATGTACACCTTTATGTGTGAGCAGTGTTGTGTTAAAGCTTACATTGTGTATCAATGTGTGAAAAAATGACCTATTCAGAAGTCATTTATTAATTGGTTCAAGTTAAGTAAAAGTGTTATGTCAAAATATTTGCCAGTTAAAGTTGTTAAAAATGTAAACCATTATTTAGCGCTGTAAGATTAATAATGTAGTAATACTGGCTGTTTTTCAGTCATCTGATTAAGGACATTATCATCACAATTAATGGCATTTTATCATTATCTTTAGAATCTCAGTGAAGGTGGTCTTTACTAAACGATCAACAATTGTATGAACTGTACTGTATGTAAAAGTCTTTACAATGTCAGACACTGAAAAATGTCAGGCACATGTGAAGGGGTTCAGCCCTGTACATGCCAGTGCATTAGGACCTAATGCGCTGGTGATAATGCTTCTTCCTAAGCTGAAGTATGTATGTGGACTAGATATGTCTCACATGTCTGCAGAGTGAACAGTTTCCCAAACCAGCTTAAACATTTCATACTTGAAAATGCACAGTGATTTTTTTTTTTTTTACTTCATTACACCGTCTTGTTTAATGAAATGCATAGACTGCTTGAGACTGAAATAATATCCTTCTCTGTCACCCTCAAAAGCTCATGAAAATTGGATAAATCAAACTGATTCAATTTCCTCTGAGCTAAACACAAAAGCGCTGCAACCCTCGCTTAAACGTTTCAGTTGTGCGTTACTGGGGAAATATGGATAAAATCTTTGTTTCTTCTAACAGGCATAATGCTTGGGAAGCAGTTCAGACAGAGATGTGCAGAATGTTAGACCAAGAAAGTGCTGTTTTAATGGAAACGTTTTTTTGTACTGTAAATGTATGAAATGATCCAAATGTAATTTACATGTTGAAATAAGCATGATTTTCTGAGTAAGTGACTGTGGTTTGAAAATGCTTCATTTGAGGTTTCTGAAGGAATGGTTTCCCAGCTTGTTTAGCAGAGTGTGTCTGCTGAATTCACGTGAAAGGCAATAATCAAATAAAGGATGACCAAGAGAAATGCTTCACTAGTAGCTGCTTATTATTGACTTAAATCTTAAAATTGGCCTCAGCTCTCTAAAGAAATCTCTACATTGATATGTTTCTTATATGGTCCCTAACACAGTCCCTACAAACCTATCATTTTTTAAACTACAGTAGACATACAATAATGTATTTATACATGGATTCCTGTATAGCATTTCCAGACATCTGAAATAAATATGAGTAGACACCATAAAATGTTGAGTAGGTTTCTTAGTTTGTTTGACAGTGGCAAAAACAATGCTACTGGACACAGCAGACACCTGGCAATATTTTCTTGTTACATGAACCGTTGTTCTTCTTGTTGTCAGATATTATGTTCCTGATTGCCCCAACTTCCAGGCAAATTTTTAGGGTGGGTTGCTTGGACAAAAGACTTGGGCTGGTGTTCAAAAGCATTTTAGAGAATCTGGATCCACTTATCAAATCTCGTTATGTCCCCTACTGAATCTGTTTAGGTGGTTTGTTTGTTAAAATATTATTTCACTGCCTGTAACAAAACAAATTTAAACTGTTTTGTGTAACAAAAGATATATGTTTAAGTTGAATAACACAGTCGGTCATTTAAATTGTGATTTAAGGCTCAGTACCAAACAAGCCCTGACACTGAGTGATAGGTAATGGCCTGTCAAACCTGCTTGATGACTTTCACTAATTCTGCGTTCATTCATTTTGTTCCTCACTGGATTGTTGTACTGCAACTGCAGAAGCTCTGGATGCTAAAGTTAAAAAAAAGACAGTGAATATAAGATGAACTCCTCTACATAATTCCGTGGATATCAATGAAATACCTCACTGGTGTTTTACAGGAACTATTGTATGAACTTACAGTAATGTCACCTGAAGCTGAATTGCTGCATGTCAGACTTTTTGACACAGACACCAGTCCACTTGTCATTCTCAAGTTATCAAAATGGTTAACATGATGGGTGGTAGATAAATGTTAAAACAAATGGCTTGTCATCCTCTCTTGGTCGTGAGTACCCTCCCACAAATGTCAACATGTTCAGTCTTGCTGAGTATCAGTTGTTTTTTCTTTGACTGTACCTGTAGTGTCAGAGAGACCTGCAAACAAGATTAATTAAACAAAACAAACTAAAAGTAACCAGTCTGCAACATGCATGAAGATTTGATCAGGGATTTGTTTCTTTGTGTATCTTTAAATGGAGCCAGCTATCAGACCCCTTCCCTACAAAAGACTGACAGATGGACAGACAGTGCACAGTATCATCAAAGTCAGCTCTGTTCAACTGCTTGTTATGCTACACACCGTTGAATGCATCCAAGTGCACTTTACCTTGTATTTTTCTGTAAGAGAGTATGTTGCAAAATGTGAACATTCCCCAAGGCCTCTTTTTGTATTCTGAGAGATGCACACATTCCAGCAATTTAATCTCTTCTACTTTTATAGAAACTGAACATCTTGGAGCTCTGTAACAATGAAATAGCTTTTATTCTTGGCCAGTATTTAGCTCCAGATGAATGAGGAACATTCTTCAACAGGGAAGATTTGTCTAGCTCCAATTCTTCAATTTAAGATGTTTGGACTTGAGGTTAGGTCAGTACAGCTAGTTACAGGGAACAATTCATGGGTTGATGCAGCTGTTTCTCACAGCTGGCCAACTTGATAATTCAGCAACACCTGACTCCCTCATCTTGTCTAGTTTTGGTTGTCAGACATGTAAATGAATGTATGTGTGAGTATGAGAAAGAGGACAAGGCAAAAAAGGACAAGTAGAGAGAAACAAAAACTGAGCTCTTATGCCCATAAATTTTATATTTCTTACTCTACAATACTGTTAGGTCCCATATTAGCTGGACCCAATGTACCACCACACACTGGGACTGGGATATAAAGTAAAGTTTATTGCATATGAAAAGCAAGTTTATTGGATGGGCGAGAGAGAACAGAGGCAGAGGCCAGTTCTGGACTGGACCGGCAGGCAGAGTAGAGTCTTAGACAAGGCAGGTGGGAGGAGCGGCATGGAGATGGGGATGAAGGCAGGAAGGACAAGTGAAGCTGGGGACACAGGGGAGGCAAGGAACATGGAGGTGGGTAATGTGGAGGCAGACTGCTGGGGAAGCCGGACACACCATGAAGGAAAAGGGCTGGAGATGGCAGGGCTCATGGAGGACGCTTGCCGAATATGTGGCAGCGCTCTTGGGCAGGCAGAGGACTGGAGGTGACAGGAGGTAGATGCTCACACTCAGCAAGGCAGGACTTTGCAGGAGAGCTGGACAGGACTCACCGAGCCACGAGCTGCTGAGGTGACTGATCTCAGAGCAGGAAGAGAACAAAGCATGAGCTGCTGACGTGACTGATCAGTGATTAGTGATCACTGATGAGACAGGTAGGCAGGAACACAGGCAAAGCACAGGATCTGGAGAACAAACAATTAGCAGGTGAGTATCACATAAGAGATCGAACAGAAGCTGCAGATAACTTCTAGTGGTGCAGAAACACGTGTGAGTAGATTACAAACCAGCGGGGAACTAGCGGAAAAGGGCGTATATATAGGGAGCTAAACCGGTAATGAGTGGCAGGTGAACGTAATGATGAGTGATTATGCTGGCTAGGATGTGGCACGTAGGAAGAGACAGGGAAAAAAAACAGAAAAACAGGAAGCACAGGACCAAACCATAACAAATACATACCTAGCTTTAACTCTTACCATAACATAAACTTAATTTTGATCTTAATTATATATAAGATCTGGTCCTAAAATAGTTCTGGCCTTGCATAAAGAGAACAGTATCTGATAAAAGTGCAAAAAGAAAAACACAGTGGTAACTCAGAATCACTCACAAACAAGTCAGTATCAGTGTTACTACAGTGTAAGTGATTCTTTGTTTAACTGTCTTTTCTGTCACTGTAAAGGCAAAGCAGAGCAGGCACTGTTGCTCATGTAAATGGCTGAAATGTCTAATTGTTCTCTGGGTTCACTGTGTTCCTTTTGCCAAGAAGCACATTAGCTGAAAGAAAAAGCACATTAGTAGAAAGGAAAAAGAAAATGCAAGCAGGTATGACGTACTCTCCTCAGGCACCACCTGGGTCCCCAACACCCACTACGCACATCCCACTCCCAAAATAAACCCCAATCTGTCTCGGCACATTCGCCATACAGCATCACTACATTTTGCAGTGTTCTAAACCTCCCCCACCATCCCTTGCAGCACCTGTCACAAGCCTGGACTCAAATTACCTTTCTTCATAACTACCACAGAACATGAAGCCAGGGTGCTTGATTAAGGTTCTCAGAGTCAGTCCCTGGCAGAGACAGTTGTTTGCTTTATTTGTTCCAGTCTCCTGCACTCAACCACTTCTATTAATGACCTGTATTTGTCAGGCTTCTGAGGTGGGTAGCACCAAGGGTAATACGAACTAGGCATTGATTGAAGGTATTTAATTTGGTCCCAAAGGTTGGAAGTTTTAATTTAACTAGTTATAAGACTGTGGGCACAAAATGTGAACAATTTCTTGTTGGTATGGTTGTATAATGTTTTCCTACAAAAAAAAATTGTCAAATCCAATAAAAAAAAAATGTAAAAAATGAAACATGCCAATGATTAATTTCCTTTCTGAGCTCCTGCTATGTGTTATTACTTGTCTTTTGAGCACTTCTGCCTTGAGATCAACAGTGATAACAGTTGCAAGTCAAAAATTTCCACACAAAATTTTTCTAAATCATGAAGATAAATTCAGTTTTAATGAGCTCTCCATGTGATTTTTTTGAATCTGAACTTGAAATTTGACAGAGTTCGTTTCCTTACTCTCAGTAGTTTTCTAGACCAGAAAGGTACAATTACTCCAGTCAGTGAAGTTTGAGGAGGTATAGTCAATACGGGATAAATAAATATATGGAGCAGTGTCTGACTTCTTCTCCATACCCTT